GCGCCCCCGACCCGGGCTCCCACGCCGGACTTCTGCCGGGGCTACTTCGATGTCATGGGCCAGTGGGACCCACCGTTCAACTGCAGCTCGGGCGACTTCATCTTCTGCTGCGGGACTTGTGGCTTCCGGTTCTGCTGCACGTTTAAGAAGCGGCGACTGAACCAGAGCACCTGCACCAACTACGACACGCCGCTCTGGCTCAACACCGGCAAGCCCCCCGCGCGCAAGGACGACCCCTTGCACGACCCCACCAAGGACAAGACCAACCTGATCGTCTACATCATCTGCGGGGTGGTGGCCGTCATGGTGCTTGTGGGAATCTTCACCAAGCTGGGGCTGGAGAAGGCGCACCGGCCCCAAAGGGAGCACATGTCCAGGTGGGCTGCCTCCCCCTCGTTCCCCTCCTCCGGGCTTCGCTCTCCCTCCTCTTCCCGCTCCTCCCCCCAGGCAATGGCGCTCCCCCTCTCCTGCACCCCAGCCTCTCCGCTGGGGGATGCCACCCGGAAAGCTAACTTCTGCTTGGAGCTCGGAAAGGGGGGCTGGGCTCAGCACAGGTGTACGTCTCTGTGTGTGTGTGTGGCGGGGGGGTTCTGCCCCCTTGCCCTCTTGCTGTCCCCTCCTGCTCGACTGTTGAGGTGGACTGAGACACACAGCCCTGAAGCCCGTGGTCCCCAACTCTTGGGTTTTGGTGAGGAGCCCACGGCATCCCTCGGATTCCAAATGCTGTCTTCTAGGTAAACAGGGGCAGACGAACCTGAAAGGGAAGGGGGGCGTGTGTGAGCCCGCGCGCGCGTGTGCAGGAGGGAGGAAAGAGTGAGTGCCGCCTGCAACTCGTACGACTCGCGAAAATGAGGCGAAGGAGGTGGAGTGCGGGGAGGGCGAGAACAAAAGCCTTGCTTGGAGCGGCCGCCTCCCTTTCCCAGAGCTTCACAGTCCCTGAAATTGGGACCTCTGCTGCCTCCACCACTTTATCCCCCTCTCTCCACCCCAATTCCTTTCTCCGGCCACCACCTCTCCCTGCCCGGGGCAGCGGCCACCTCTGCGCCCCGTGCCCTGGCTGATGTGGCCAACAGCGGCCCAGGCCCCTGTCCGCGCGCCTTCGCCCTCCAAGCACCCTGATCCGCCAACTTTCCGTTTGTCTTGTTCATTATGCAAGTCTCAGCACGGGCAAGTCGCAGCAGATGGGAGAAGGCATTTGGGGATTAATGGAGCTATTTGCCTTTTGCTTTTTTTTTTTTTTTTAAGTGTCTAAATGGATTTGCGCAACTCGGTAACTTTGGAGGAGGTGATGCAGCCACGAGCATTAAGCCCCGGGCCGCGGGAGAGGCGAGGGCTTGGTGTGAGGTCCGGGCGGGTGGGGCTGAAGAATCCACAAGCTGTTTGCAAACTGCAGGGTGACGGGAATGCAAGCTTTGGTTGTCCCCTTTCCCAGGCTGGTCGACCAAGTCGCTGGTTTCTGCTTCCCCTCCGCCCTCTCTGTCGCCTCCTCCCTCCGCTGGGGGCCTGTGCACGCGCGTGTGTGTGTGTGCACGCGCTCCGTGTGCATGCCTAAAACATCTGAACAAAGAGACCCACCAAAAATAGGCGAAGGAACATCACTACCTCACTAGTAATTATTTTCTATTTATATGCAGAGTATCCGATGAATTTTTTTCCCCAGAGGGAAGGGATTTGGGGGAAGAGGTGAAGAAGTTCTTCTGGGTTTGGGTCAGCAGAGAGGTGTGGGTGGATGTCGGGGTCCTGCGGCCCAAAAGTAAGCCCCGAGGGCTTCAGGAAACCCAGTTCCTCTGAAGGAGTAAAGCGTTGGCCCCACCCACCCCCTGCAGCCGCAGGAGGTCCTGTTATCTGTCCCAACGGCTGGGCCAGTCCCTATTAATTCCTGGGGTCTGTGTTAAGGTCAAAGGGAGAAATGGATTCGGGACTGCGGCAGGGTGTCGCCGTGGTAGACGAAGTATTTCTCAGAGACAGGTAGGCTGCCTTGTACATTCCGGTTAACTCCTGCTAAAATCTCCACACAGCCCTCTTCTGCAAACCAGCTCTTAAAGCAGCCGATCTTGGTAGTTGGCAGGGCTAGAGGCGGGCAGGTGGGGAGAGGAGCTAAGCTTTGTATGTCTGTAGGAGAAAGTGATGCTAGGTCCAGCCTTTTTTGATCCTCAGGCACCTAATGGCCCAGTAGGGACTCAACCTTCTGGTCCTGCCCCCCTGCTTTTTTTGGGAGAAAAAAAAATAAAAGGACTCCAGTGAGAGCTAAACAGGTTGTGGCTACATCCTTGTGCAGGTATCAGGAAAGGCCAGCTTGGAAGTAGAATCCAGGGGCACCCAGTCCCGGGAGGGCAGAGCCTCCACAGGGGCTCTCCCAGTAGAAATTTTGGGAATTCCAGAATGGGGTGAAAGTCCATACTTTTGCAAAGAGAGAAATGTTGATTTTTACTGGTGGCTTCTAAGCCATGATTTTTCAACCTTGACTACTGTTTTGAATGGCCTGTCACCAGGGGCCCTACCCTAGACCATGTGAGTCTGAGTCTCCAGAGTGGCACCAAAGCATCTGTCCCTTTGAAAAGCTCTCTAGGGGATTCTAGTGTTCAGCCAGTCACTGCTAAAAAGAAGGAACCACCTGCTGAACACGGAGTCGGTGCCAGGACTGAACCAGGTGTGTGTGTAGACACTCTCTCTTTTAGTTCTCCAATCTTCCCTGTGAGACAGGTGCGATTTTTATCCCCTTTTACATAGAAGAAATCCATGGCTCAGGTGAGGTGCCTTGCTCAAGGTCAAGTTAGAAAACTGTGCAATCCCTGGTCTCCTGATTTCAACTGTGCCAGGGACAGATGTTTTTAGACAGAATGTGCATTTACAGAACTTCCTAATTGCAGATTCTTGACCCCATCCGCAGTGACTCTGAGTCAGTAGGAAGGGCCATACCGAGAAACCTGCATTTAGCAGCTCCTCTGAGACGTGGAGGAAGCTGTCTTTGGTTTGGGAATATTTTATAGGGTTAGGGGATAAATAAAATAATTCAAGGGATAAAAGAGAGGCCAGTGTGACTGTCTTATTTGTCTTCTCCACATGTGTAACCTTTCTGTGGTGCTGGGCTACCCCAGGTACCTGCCGTCTGGAATCTCAGCCGTGGCCATTGGCTCACTAGCTTTCGCCTGATGGTGCTAAGGGGTGCTGTGGTGGGGCCTGCTTGGCCTCAGAGAGGCTGCTATAAGGTAAAGCAGCTTCTAGGTGAAATAACCTGTGGGCCACACCTCTTAATTTTGTCTGGAACCGCGAAGATGGGACTTGTTCTCATCTGGCCTGAAAGCGCCTTCTCTTAAAAGACACAGAGCAAAGGCCTGGTCCCGCACTACAGACTTTGCCCTTGGTGACCAGTAAACTTGTGTTTTTGAGCAGAGGCCTCTGAGACGTCAGTTTGTACGCTCAGAGTCCTCCCAGGCCTGTGGCCTGCTTCCTTCTGGGCTGATTAGGTCTGAGAAAAGGAGGAGGAACAGGCCCAGGAAGGACGGGGTTGCAGGTGATCTTGTAAGAACTGAGTGAATGTTCTTTCAGCAGCTGTGGCAGCAGCGACAGTCATCCAATATTTATTGCAAGAAAAGACTGCATCTGGTCACCAGCTATGGTTACCAAGCCATGTGGACATGTTTTGGTTTGTCTATCAGGCATTTCTTTCTTTCTTTTTTCTTTTTTTTTTTGCTTTGTCACCCTGGATAGAGTACTGTGGCATCATAGGTCGTAGCAACCTCAGATTCTCGGGCTCAGGTGATTCTCTTGCCTCAGCTTTTCATTTTTAGTAGAGGTGGTGGCGGGGGGTGAGTGGGGTGTGGGGGTGTATGTCTCACTCTTGCTCAGGCTGGTCTCGAACTCCTGATCTCAAGCAATCCACCTGCCTTGCTCTCCCAGAGTGCTAGAATTACAGGCATGAGCCACCGTGTGCGGCCAAGGTATTTCTATTTGTGTCTTTATCTTAAAATTTTCCTCAGTTTTGTTTTTTGGTGAAAAACCTTATACATGCACAAAACTTGAGAGAATAATAAAATGAACTCTCTGTGTCCTTCATCTGGATTAGGGTTCCCTGTCTTTGACACCGTTGGCATTTGTGGCTTGGTAATCCCTTTGTAGGGGGGACTGTTCTGTGCATTGCAGGATGTTTGGCAGTGTCTTGGCCTCTGCCCACCAGATGCTAGCAGCTCACATACCCTTCACCCCAGTGATCATAGTAAGAAAATGTCTTCAGACATTGCCAGATGTCATTTGGGACAAAAATGCCCGCACTGAAGAACTGCTAATCTAGATTGAGCTCTTGTTAGTATTTGGCTGTATATGCCTTGTTGCTCTCATGTTCTCTCCATATGTTTTTTCTTTACTTTCCCTCTCTCCCTTCTTCCTTCTCCGGCTTCCTCCCTCCCTCCTCGTTTCCCTCCATCCCTCTGTCCTTCCCTCTCTTTTCCCTCCGTCCTTCCCTCTCTTTTCCCTCCCTACTTTCCCCCTCTCCTCCTCTTCCCTCCCTCTCTCCCTTTTATCTTTCTTTCTTTTTTGGCCCAGACATTTGAAAATAAGTTGCAGACATGACCCTTGGTCCCTAAATATTTCCATGTGGCTCTCCTAAGTGCAAGGGCATTCTCGCACCAATTTGTCATCATACTTAAGAAAATGAACAAAAATGCCATAGTATCATCAAATATCCAATCATATTAAAATTTCTCAGTCAAAACTATCTTTTAGAGCTTGGTTTTTTAAAATCAGGATCTAGTCAAGGCTCACTGTAGTTGGCTGTGAAATCACTTTAGTTTCTATTATGCATGGTGTTTAAAAACCAACTTAGAATCAGTTGCCAACATTTAAAAACTGGGAGATTTCACACAGAAATCTAGATTTCTGCTTTCTCTTGAGAATTTGGTGGGTTTGGTGACACCGGATCTGCATTTTTGCACAGCAACTGCTGGCTTCTTGCTGTGAGCGAGCGACTGCCCCCTTTAGGAAGCTCTTGGGTTCATCTCAGTGGCCTCCTCCACCCTCTTCTCTCAAGTACGGTACCTTAAGCCCTGACAGTCAATGTGGCTGCTCTGAATAACCCAGGCTGCAGTCAGTCAGCCTAAGATTCAGTCCAGCTCAGTCACCTGATGGCTGTGTGATCTTGGGGCGGTTGCTTCACCTCTCTGAGTGCGATGTCTTTGTCTTCAAGTTAAGGATTCCTGAGACAGGCCTTGGAAAGCAGTTAACACAGGACAGTCACAGGGCTACTGCTCACCAGCTATTAATTACCATCCTTACTGGAATTTTGTACCTCTTGTCTACTGAAGAGAGTGGTGTCATATTCCAGATCTTGGTGACTAGGCCTTGCTCTGCTGTGTTTCTTTAGCTGTGTGACACTAGCCAC